TTTTTTTTTTTTTTTTTTTTTTTTTTTTTTTTAGCCATCAACAGCTAATATAAGGAGGAGGCACTCAATAAATGCTCGTTGTTGAAAGAGCATATATATGAGAGAACTTGAAGAACAAACTTGATTTTTTCCTTTATATGTACTGAGGCTTTTTTGAGCTTCCTGTGACTGACTAATTGAGGCTGCGAAGTAAAGTTATCATACAGAATTGAGGTATTGCTGGATAACGTTCATTTAACCAAAGGGTATCCACCTCATAAAAGTATGTGGACTTTTCCAGCAAGCGTTTATTAAGTACCTGCGCAATACTGGGCATGTGGTAGTGACTAGAGATAGCAGAAACCTTCAAAATCTTGTTGGCTATTCAAAACCTACTGAGGGCCCTCGTGGATTCCTTTTTTTAACGGTGCAGAGCAGAGCCACTTGGGTCTCTTCTTGGACGATGGTCAGTGCCTGACGTCTCTGTAGGTGGTCAAGAGCGCTTGAGTCTTCGTGGGTCTGCATCTTTATCTTCTACCTTTTTTATCAAGACACAGTGGAAACTCAACCCCATGCGTGTGTCAGGCAAGCATCATTTCTCAGAGATAGTCATCGTTTGGGGGCCTTGGTGGGAGGGATTTCGCCTTGCTGCTTCTGTCTGTCAAGCTGGATGGTTGCATCGCTCCACTAGATGGAGCCCTTTTATTAGAAAGCCCCAAGAAGGGTCTGCTTGTTAAGTGAAATCTCGAGTGCTGTGATCAGAGGTCATCCCACAGAGCGTCAGGAAAACAAGCTGTTCATTAAATTAGAGAGCTGTCGTATAATAAAGAAAAACTCAGTTGTTCAGCCGTCAGCCCATGCATCTTTAATACTCTATATTACCTTCTAAATCAACCTCTCATGGGCCTCAGCATAAATCTGGAGCCCACTCATCTCTAAATTCAGGATGATCGTCTTTCTTGTCAACTAGTCCACAGAACTGTGACCTGCGTCACGACTCTTCACTGAGACACGCATCGTGGAACAGGAATAGACTTCAGGGTCAGACAGACCCTCACTCAAATTTTCGGTCCATCACTTCTTGGTCTGTGCAACTTGAAGTGACTAATTTTGGAAGTCTGTTCTCTTTACCTACACAATGAAAGCCATCGGTCTGAGCTGGCCATATTGTTGGGAATGTATACAGTACTGTGCTGGAACATGGCAGGTGCCCTGTAGATGGTATCTACGTCAATAACTAGTTGTATTGTTATAATGACTGCTGAAGCTGCCTGCCTAAGGCATTCAACTTTCTGATCGCTGTATTGATGGTATTTAACACTAACACTCAACGGTCACCCAATACTCTTTTGGACAATTAAGTAAAACTGACCAGCTGGTCAAGGTTGAGGACGTTTTGCAAACTAACTTCCCGCGACTTCTTCATTTTCCTTCTAGGGAACTCAGGGTTGCCCTTGAATTGGGCATTGAGAAAGATAGGCCTTAGAGAGGCAGTGGGAAGATAAGCCATATTTGGCCAAGAGACCGATTGGGAGATTTTAGCAGATGGTTTTGAGCAACAGAAAGGTGGCGGCTCCTGAGTCACTGCAGGCTCTAGGGGGGCTCGTCGCTGATGCGCCTGAATTCCTCATTCCGATGGCTCTACTGGGAGGTCGTGAGGGCCCTGGAGAGGACAGTCAGCCAGTCAGGATGGAGCTGGGGACATTCAGAAGGCCTTCATGAGGAGAAGAGCCAGAGCATCTGCAAAAGAGTCACAGAGATAAGCAGAGGACACTGGTGTTAACCCCAAGGCGTCACTGGAGATCTGAAAGGAAACACGTTCAGTCGAACGGGAGGGGATGTGCTTCAAGATTTGTCCGGATGAAGATGCCAGGTGTTTGCCACAGACCTTTTCAGCTAGAGTGTCTGGGACTGAGGCCTGGGGAGCCTTCCCAAGGGATTCTTGTGCACATGAGAGTGTGAGAACCGCTGCAGCAGGGAAGAATGGCCTTGTGCCCGGCCCAGCCCTGAGAAGACATTGGTCGTCTACAGTCACCTGTAAAATCCTCAAGAACCGGATGTTGCTAGGCCCCCTCTTGTCCTGAGAAGACATTGATCATTTGCAGTAACCTGTAAAATACCCTCAAGAAGCTCCCTCTCACCATGATAATTCACCGTTGTGAGGGAGAACAGCGCCCCCAGAGCCTTCATCTTGTCTCAGTCAGTTCTAGTCAGAGGGATGATCCACTGGAAAGTAGTATAATTAGGCAACGGGCACAAATAGATGGGGGTTGAGTTGAGAATTCAGAGTTGGGACTTGAACTACTAGCTCATTATAAACAACCAAATATTTCTATCACCAAAATTTAAAAGACCGGTGTTTTGCTTGTGATCACAAAGGACAAAAACAAAGCTTGACAACAACAAAAAAATCTACTTGTTCCGTGAGTCTGAGTTTTTAGAAGGACTGAAAGTCGCTGGCTTAGAGCTCAGGGACGTATATAAGAGACACATAAGACACAGAAAACACCATAACACATGTAAGAAGGAAAAAAGAAGCCATGATTTTTTAAAATAAAAAAATGTGTTGAATACTAATAAACTAAGAAAATAACAAAAACCACTTCCAGTTTTATCACCTGAAGGTAACTGTGATTACTTTTTTTTTTTTTTTTTTTGAGTTGGAGTCTCACTCTGTCACCCAGACTGGCCGCTCCTGACCACTGCAGCCTCGACCTGCTGGACTCCAGCGATCCTTCCGCCTCAGCCTTCCAAGTAGCCGGAATTATAGGCATGCGCTACCACACCCGGCTGATTTTTTGATTTATTGTAGAGATGAGGTCTCGCTGCCCAGGCGGGTCTCGAACCCTCAGGCTCAGGCAATCCACTCACCTCAGCCTCCCAAAGGCGCGGGATTACAGGCTGAGCCACCGAGCCCGGCTGTGATTACATTTTGATGCATGGCTTCTCATCTCATCTCTAACAATGGTTCTCCAAATTTTTTAATCTCAGAACACCCTTATAAACTTTTTAAAAAATCATTAAGGATGCCCAAAGAGTTTTTGTTTTTATGAGTTATATCTATTGATATTTACTGTATTAGACATTAAACTATTAAATTTTTAAAGTCCATATTAATTTGTTTATAGATGAGAATAAGCATATTATATTATGCATTAACAAAAATAACATCATTTTTATGGGAAGAAATGTTATTTTCCAAAACAGAGAAGGTTGAATCGCCTTATATTTTTTCAGATACCCTTAATACCTGACATAACACAAAATGGATGGATTGTCACATGCATTCCATCAGCTGTCAGGACGGTGGTGTTTTGGGGTCCTGCCTGCCCCTCCGGCTACCTCTCCAGGTTCCCCTGACCACACTTTGAGAACCACACCTCTGTGTTAAACACACAGAGAAGGTTACATGGAACTGTTTCTCACTGAATTGTTCCTACCATGGTGCCCAACACTATCAATACATGCTCAATAAAACTGTCGAGTGAGTGGATTAAGTACACATTTTTAGCCTAAACATGCTTCGTTACTCACTTTTCCACTTCCTTTTCAATGGAGTTGCGGCATGCATACCCTTGACATCAGCAAGCTTTAATTCTGCAGGCTCAGGTGGAAGTTCTTTAGCGCCGAGGCTTTCAATAGCCTTAGATATCCAAGCTGGAAACAGCCAATGTTTGTTGAAAAGGGCCTGTGAGAAGAACGTGTAATTAATTTTAAGAAGTCACCAACCACTGGCCAAAAAGCAGTGCTTATTGGTAAATGGTCATGGACAATTCAGGGCTCTTGACAAGGGCACATTTGTAAAGTGTTTGCCTTACACGCTAACCTTGCTGTAAGGCATGTGTTTGTCAATAGCGCTGTTTGTATTGCTACCTAACACTTCACTGGATTGGTGTGCTCTGATTTATTAAGTCCTCTGCCGATGACCACTATATCTTCTGTCCTATTCCCTTCAGAAGTGAAGCTGTCAATAGTAGTCAAAATTGTGTGTGTGTGTGTGTCTGTGTCAGTGTCACTGTTAAGCAGATCTTCCAGAAAACAGTGCATCGATTTTGGTAAAATTTTGATTTACCTCATGTTTAAGATAAGCATTGGCAAATTCTGCACACTGACCTCATCAAACCTTTGTGCATTGACTCATCAGCATTGAACAACATTTAGAGTCAAGGGTGAAGCTTGTGAGCAGATCATTTTCCTGATGACAAGGGAAGAAATGGCTTTCAGGACTGTGGGTGTCATTACCTCACTCTCCCATGCAGTGAGAAGCAGGATTTTCAAAATCCTTTTCAAAGAGAGAATAGAATCTTCTGAAGAGAGACACAATAAGTGACAGTGTTATTTTCACATCTCTTCAGTACACCAAGACAGTAAAAGAGGAAGCATTAGCACCTAGAAGAAGCTTCACTGTCACAGACGTCTACATTAAATCATCAAAGCTTTCTGCAGAGTTAACACCTGTAGTTACAGATCTCAGCAGAAGAAAATTCTGTCTAGTCACATGCACAGATAATTGAAAAGTCATGACAGGTAGTAATCCATAGTGAGTGGTTTTGACACATTCAGCAATATACATACATATGTTTTATCTATTTAGTGATGCAACTATTCTATGCTTCTCTCCTTCCTGGTCCTGTCCCATAAAATACTATAAATAAAAATAAGGAGAACCTTCATGTCTGAATATTAATAAAAATGTTTAGGTACATTTTTAAAGCATGGTTTTAAAAAGTACATCATGGTAAAGAATGTGATATTTTCTACAACTTTAGAAATTGTTTCCTTATAGATAGCTTGTGATTCAAAGAAATATGACTTAATGCTTACTGGAGGAAACTGTTGCTGCCAGAAAATGTGATTTATTTTTTAGGACACTGACTGTGCAATCGACAATTCTATCCTGGTCAGATCAAATGGCTGTGCTTGCTCAGATTTGTAGAAAAAACTTATCTTGCCACAGTTGGATTCTTAGAAGTCCTCCGACCTTGGTCACACCCTCACTTCCCACCTTATGTGACCAACACACCCATGGGCACATGCCCATGCAAGCGCGTGCACACGTACACATACACAACTCTTCTTTACATAAAGTCCTGTACTCTTCTGGCTGCCTCCGCTCCCTCGGTTTTTCCTTAGGCCGTGTTTCCCTGGGAAGTTGCCCTGTGGGGCTGACGGTCATTCCCAAACCTGTTTCACCCCGTCAAGAAGGGGGCCACTGGCCTGAATGCTGTCCTTTCTAGGACAGCCTGAGTTTCACCTCCAGTGAAGCCGACTTGAGGCAGACCCACGTTTTTCCTCTATCTGCTCTTCAGTCTACAGTTTAAATGACTGAGCCTCATTCTGGAAGTGCAGATATCAGACCCAAGGTCTAGGCCCAAAGGGAAACGAAATCATAATGTGACGGTGTTGCTTTGGGAGAGCCACAGAGAGCATGCACGGCCAGTGCTTCTCCGCAGCTGTGCTCCTGGGACCCCAGGCAGGACAGACAAGGCCCTTGGGATCTTTCCAGTGACTTACCATCTTTCCTTTTTTTTCACTCACTCATGTAGCAAATAACTTTCTGAGTTACCTCTAAGCCTCAGACATTACTCATGGGGATTCCATTCTAGATAGGAGGGAAGATAACAAGAATATCAGCCATAACAAAGGAACAAAGCCAGTTATTATGCCACACAGACCTGAAGCGGGACGAGAGGCTAATTGTCTGGGCAGCTGTTTTAGAGAGTGTGGTCGGGGAGGCCTGGCCTTCAGCCAAGCTCTTGACATCCAAGATGACCATGAAGATCAAGAGGAAGACTTCTCGGGGAGCGGGCCACAGCTCGCTTGAGGTGGGACTGAGTTGGGCAGGTCTGAGACCAGTACACCTGGTCTAGAGCCAGTACACCTGGACTAGAGCCGGGGGGCAGAGGCCAGGACACAGAGTGGCAGGAGAGACTGCCTGACACCCGACTGTGTGTGACTTGTAGGCTAGAATAGGAAACCAGTTGATGGGTTGTTGTCAGGAAGATACCGTGGTCTGATGGACGCCTTGAAACTCTCCTCTGGCTTCTCTGTAGGTGACGGAGCATAAGGGAACACAAGAGGACGCTTCAAGGTTTGAGGAAGCCATTCGGCCAACCAGGCCAGAAAGGAGCCTGGCATGGACGCTGGGTGTGAAGAGACGGGAAGGGGTGGAGACAGGATCCCTGCAGGTCTGAGGGTTGCAGACCAGAGGGGACTGGCCTGGTCCCCTGATGAGCAGCCTCTGAGGGTGACTCTTTAGGGTTGATCCAAATATTTTAAAAGTCAGATCCCTTATGAGATTCCGAAAGTCTGCCTTCTCTTAAAAACCAGAGTGTCTGGCTACATTGAGCACAGGCTCACTTGCGGTGACAGATGTGGGAGCTGTGTGTTGCCTCCCTTCTGGGGGGCTGAGTGTACTCTCCGGTTTGCAAAGCCCCATCTACCCATCATCCTCTTGCAGTGAGGCTAACGTTGGCCGCCGTGTCAACTACCCTATCATTTTCTTTTTATCATGCCCCCTCAGCTTACCATATCCTATAAACCTTTTAATTTTTGGACCTCATCTCAGGTAGTCTGAGAATGAAAGTGGAAAAAAAAAACTTTAGGCACCCACGCACCTTGGTTCCTGTATAACTGTAAAAACAGACTATTTAGCAGCTAACGATTAAATAATAGCAGTATTTGAAACCAACCTGTACAGTTTGTTATGAGACAGATGGTCACCCTTGGGGCATTGCTTGGAAACGCAAGAGCTTCCAGTGTGCTGGTGACACTCGGCTTCTTGATCTGGTAACCCCGTTGTGTTCAGTTTGTGGAAAAGGCACTGGTGTATACTTACATATGTTCTTTCTCTCTGCGTGTCATAGTCCAATTACGACTAGAAGCCAACAGCATTCTTTCAGGATGGTTTTGAGTACAGATGTCCTTGAGCTGAGTGTGGTGGTTCTGACACGTTGTCTTACCTTCCAGCCAAGCCAAAGCCATGTACTCCTGTAAGGCGGAGCACAGCCACGAGCTCTCCTTCCCGCAGGGCGCGATCTTCTCCAATGGTGAGCCCCTCCGTTCCCTTCACTTGTGTGTAGCGTCCTGGGAGGTGGAGGGAGGGCTGTGGTGGTAAGAATGGTTAGCAGACGCAGGGACCTCGGACCGATCCCAGGCCCTGCCGCTCATGACTTGCGTGCGTGAACTCCTCAGACCCCTCCGGGTGGCACGTGCCTGAGTCCCAGCTGCTCGAGAGGCTGAGGCTGAGGGAGGATGACTTGAGGCCAAGAGTTCAAGGGTGCAGTGTGCTATGATCGCGCCTGTGAATAGCTACGCATGCTAGCTTGAGCAGCACAGCAAAACCCTGTCTCTAAACATGCATGCACACACATGCATACATACGTACATGCACGCATGCATGCAAATAATTTTTAAAAACCCAGTGGTCCCCAGTTTTCTCTCCTTTGGGTGTTTTGTGTGCATGTGCCTCTGTGTGTGCGTGTGTGTTTTATTATGTGAATGCAGACATTTCACCTGTAAAGGGGTGTGATACTTTGTTTTGACAATCTTAGTTGAGTGTACAAACGGCCCTCTGTATCCAGGGATGATGCATCCATGAATTCAACCAACCACGGATCAGAAATATTCCAAAATAAGTAGATTAAATCAATAACAACAATACGAGTTGCAAAATATATATTATAGCAACTACTTGTGTAGCGCTCACACTGTAACAGGTATGATAAGTAATCTGGAGATGGTTTAAAGCATCAAGGAGGGGGGTACCTAGTTGCGTGCAAACATGATGTCACTTTATGTCAGGGACTTCCACGGGCTTCCGTATCCGCAGGGGTCCTGGAACCCATCCCCCACAGATGCCGCGGGCCGACTGTATGCGTGTGATCTCATGTGGATATGTGCCTGTTAGCAGATGGGTGACATGTCGTGATTTGAAGCCAGTGCGGACTGACTATTCTTTGCTTGCCCTGCTAGTGTACCCGTCGGTGGAACCAGGATGGCTAAAGGCAACGTATGAAGGCAAAACCGGACTGGTTCCCGAAAACTATGTTGTCTTCCTCTAAAACTGTTTAGCGGATGGCAGTATCTTCATGGTATCCATGGTAACGAATAACAGGCGCTCTGATTTTCTCTGACACAGATATGGGGATCGGCCCACTGAGAGAAAACAGTCCATTTCCACCAAGTTCCCCACCAGCAGACTATGTAGCTCCCTATGAATGGAAGAAAGTTTAAATTGTTGGCCATTCTTTTTTTTGGCTGGTTTGTTTTCAAATACCTTGCTTTTCCTTTTTTTTTAGACAGTAAGTAACTCTCCACAATGTCTCTTCCATAACAATCGTAGAGTCTCAAATACTGTGTGAAATTCTGTGTCCCAGAAATGTGGAAACCAGAAATCTGCTATATGGATGTTGAGATCTCTCTTTTACTCCCTGGTTTTCTCCGAGGAACCTTGAAATCGTTACTTTAAAATGTAATTTAAATGGTTCATTTGTTATTTTTTTCTTAGAAATATACTACTTTTATGTATGATTGTTTTGCTGGTCCTAAACATTTCAAAGATATACATCTTTGTTTTAATATAACTTTATTTTTATTTGTTTTCCAAGTAGATGATACTATTCAGAAGCAATAATGTCTATGAGGTCTGTAAGGGAAGCCAAATGAAGTCATACACTGATTCCACTGTAAGCAATCTGTCCAGAGTTCCAGACATTTCACAGGTGCAGTGCAGGGGTCAGCAAACAACTTCTCTAAAGGCCTGATAGTAACTGATTTTGTGGTGGATTAGATCTGGCTTGTGGGTTATAGTTGTCTGACCTATAGTTGAGAGGATATGTACCACTGTCTTCGTAACTTTGGGATTTGTATGAATGCAGATACTGATCAATCATTTGGACTCGTCCTCTGTGAGTAGCATGTTAGAGGCATCGCAGAAGAATAATTGCTATGAGAAAACCGTAAAAGTGCAGTCGCAAGCATTACCACTTGAATTCCACTTGGAACACTGTAAAATGTCAGTGTGCTTTAATGATATCCCGTTTTGAGATGTTCTTCTGCCAATGAAAAAAGATGTCTGAAGACACTACTAGGAAAGCTATGCCTTCCACAGTCTATGCATAGTTGAGACAGAAAATAAACGCAAAAGTACTGGACCCTTAAGTTATTTTTTGAACCCCAAGATTTGGAATAGTTCCATCTTCTTCAGGAGGAATAAAATCAGTATGTGACTTTCTTTTGTGCTGTTCTAAGGTATCCCCCTCTATGAGAAATCTCACTCATGTGTAGAGTGCAGAGACAGGTATTGATCTCTCACTTACAGATCTCATCAGTATCTGGTCATACGTCAATCATTTCTGTTCAGTAATTCTAACATATTATTCCTATAAATCTCTCTATCTGGCAAAGAGCCTTCCTTCTCAAGTTTCTGAAAAGCTGGTTCCCGCCCTTCAAGGGCCACAACCCTGGCCTGCCAGTTCGTAACATCTTGTATGTTACAGAGTTCCCCACTGTGCAGACACTCAGGGATTGACGGTGTAAAGCTCTTTACATGATGTTATAATCTGCATTCTCAGTCTCCTCTATTTTAAATTAATATTTCTAGTAGTTTAAATGCACCTATACACTGAAACAACTATGGCTCAGCATTTAAAAATAAAAATAATGGATTGGAATTAACAAGTGAAGAAACTGACAGTTGACAGAGTCACAATCAGGAATCAATCAATTAGTGAACTGAAATAAAAGAATGAGGAGTATTCTGATAGTAGAAAAACTGGTAAGGTAATGTAAAAGTCTGGTAAAAGAATAGCTTTTTCTTTGACCTCTTACTAGCGATCTTTGCACACGGTGATCAGGTGTCGCTGGAGTTTCTTGGTCTAGGTCCTTGGTGTCCCTTACTAGTAATCATGGCATTGCCAATACCCTAATTAGCCTCTGCGGGAACAGAAGGTAGTCTCTCCAATGTCCCCATCCCTTAGTTTATACGGCACCCTTGGTTTAAGCACCCTTGCCATTGTCTGGCATCCTGCTAGATTAAAACCTCTCCGCGCAAATTGGTTTTCTTTCGAAGACCAGCTTGACTCTAAAGAGAGATGCAGTATCCTGCTTCTCTTACAGCCACATAAAGAAATCCCAGCCTTCATTTTAGCTGAACCCAGACTGGAGCTCTCCTGCTTCTGAGCTGTCTAAGTTTATGCCATGGATGCCTCATTCAGATTTAACACTTTTGCTTTAATATATGGTTCACACAAGGGTATGAACCCTAGCCGTCCTTTCTGGTGGCAAGGCCTAGGCTGCGGCCACAGTACTTGCTATGGCCTTTTTCCTGTCACAGGCTACAGACGCGCCAGTTCAAGTTGTGCTTTTGCTTGAAGTTTTAATCTTGGAGATTCATGAGGATGTTTTTTTCTTCATCTTGATTACGTGTGTAATCAAGTGACGGCTACATACTGGAGATGGGCTGAAGCGGCTTTTCCCTTGAAGTGAGTGTCCTGTAGAGAGGATATGTATGAGCACTGAGAAAAAAAAATCAGGACCTAGACGCTAGATCATCTTCAAAGTTATAATTATAACAGAATTTCAATAACAAAACCTTAGTGTTTGGAAGCAATGGGAAGATGTGTTAGAACTGACAGGTCCACACCTTCGAAACACACAACACACAACAGCCCTAACGCTGCTTACAGTGCACACAGTATGAGGATGAGACCGAGAGGTCTAAACTGATCACCTCCTGTGCCGTGTGACAATATCCCTGAATGCCAAACACGTGTGTGTTGTATCTCACACCTTATGCCATAACCCTACCAGCTTTATGGAACTAGCCAGCCAATGGAGGGATGGTTCTGGGGTTATGTGTCAGTGTCTGAAAAGCAGACTCATCTTCGTGTCCCTGTAGTGTCTGAGGAGTCTGAGGAAGCACGTGTGCCCTTGTCTGTCGTGAGTGGCATGGCTTGTTGCAAGGGTCCCCTGTGCTCTGGAACCGGTGTAAGCATAACCAGGTTTCTCAAGATGGCTCGTCTGCAGGCTCCTTCAGGGATGGCAGAGGAAAAAAAAATGTACCTTATGATCCCAAACTACTTAGGTTTCCAAATAGGAAAAGTAGAGACACACACAACTTTTATTCTTACTCTATGATCATTAGCTTTACGTGTTAAGGCTCACCTCCTGAACATTTGCTGTTTTGTGAGGACAGCAAGTTTCGCACCATCGTCCTGTGAAGGTGACACCCTGGTCACCCTCTCACCCCAGCCCCAGACCTCAGGTCTGTGTCAGTGTCGGAAAGGGTGTCACCTGCGTGGATGTCAGTTTCGAAGAGTCTCCCAGGGCCTCGCCTCAAATAACTTCAGCCTATAGTCATGCCTCCGGTTATGTGCCCAGGATGCTAAAGCGTGTAGGAATCCCAACTTGATTTATTGACTGAAGTTAGAGGCAGATCATTTAGGAACAGACTTTGTACTCTGGCTTGATGACAACATTTGTAACTCACCACTGTTACCCCCTCATCTCACACCACTGGGCAAAAAGACCCTGAAATCGTATCTCCTGGTGAGAAAAAAGAGCAGAGTCTTGACTGTTGTCCAGAAGTTACTTTGCTCCTGACTAAAGGTTTCCCCTTAGGGTAGAAGTTGCTATTTGATTTTGCCTCCCACCCTTTCTGGTGACCTTCCAAGATGAAAACACTTTTTAAAAACAAGGAATAAGCCTTTCTGAGCAACCTATGACCTGCCTGTCTCCTGTCAACTCACAGACTGAAATATCAGGTGTTCATCAACCTATCTCAGTTTCCTGAACACATTCACTGTGTCCGCCATTGTCACCATTATCTCGTTGCTTCAAAATGTGCAGGTCCCACGAGGTAATAAACTCGGGGAAACTCAGGGTTATGAACAATGTGGACTTTTAGAGGACTGGATTTTTGGATGTTTTCTGTTTTGAGGGCAGCTGCTCTCACTGTTTTTAAGGGTCTTCCATAAGCATGGTGACAGTGGCACTCACAGTAAGCCACTGGCAGAACACCGGGCTGCGTGTCCTAGACCAAGGTTTAGAAGCTGTTGCCTGGCTCAGCATGCCCGGACATCACTACTTCTCCCTGGCACTCACGAGCGAGACGCCAAGTTCAGGGTGAACTTTTCTTGCTGCCATGGGGAGAAATGGAGTCTGTGAGCTCACCAAGGAGTCCCGAAAGACAGGGATCATTTTCAGGTATGGCCAACATAAATGCTTTCCACCATTCAAGACACTCGTGCGTAGGGCCACTTGAGGAACTTAGGTGTTGGAAGAGGTGGGGGCTAGAGGTGCCAAGACCACCTCAATTAGATGACCACTTTTTCCCCTCGTGACACCTGTCATCTCTCGCCAGGGTTCCCAGGGTCTTTACACTTCCAGAGTTGAGAGTAACTCACTTTCACCTTGAATCCATGCTGTCTCTTGGATTACAAGTGTGCGTTACTCTACATCCAGCGAGAGAGGTTTATATCTGCCAGGGTTCCCTCAACTGCCTCCTTTTTGCAGAGAATAACACCCACTGGAACTGATCTAAGGACGCTGCCTCTACGATTTGTGCTGAATATCCAAGGTATCACTGCACATTGGAGACTGGGATGTTAAGAGTCCTTGAACTCTGAGCTGAAGCCTTTACAAATAGGGAGTTTGGCAGGGAAGACGCCTGGGTTTTAAATTCAGAATCCTATTTATATACTGTTAAAATTTGAGGTACTGTAGTTAATATAAAAGTTGGATATTTAGATATATTTCAGAACTAGGAGCTTCTTTGTGACCATTAACATAGCAGATTAAGTAATAAATACAGTGAAAATGATTGTCAGTAAATTATCATGTTGAATTTTTTGTTTATTTTGTAGTGTTTCTGTATTTATCTGCACTTTGTGTATATATATATACACACACATATATGTCAACATGTAAATAACCTCATGTTATTCCTAATCTAAATTGCCACAATATCATTAATGTATGTTTACACTGCATCTTAAATTACTTTAAAAATAAACTTCATTAGCACATTGTCATTTAGTCTTTGTATTTGAAGACACACTGTGTTGGAGATTAATTGTCTTGGGTTCATATGGAGAAAAAATAAGATCTCTAGTACCATGAATGAGCGTTTGGGGTGTGGTTAAACCACAACAGAATTTGGTGACCTTTTCCTGACACGTTGGCATGAGGCAAGATTTGGAAAATGTTAATGCTGATACTTGTAATGCAGGTATCTACGGAGGAGAGGAGATATGAGTCATAAGCAGAGTAACAATGGAAGAAGTAGACAGGCTTGCCTGAAAACAGCATACCATTTGTTTGCAAAAGTTTGCAGGTAGAATATCCGCAAAGACCCCTTCAGATTTCTATGAGTCTTACGACTCTCTTGGTCATTATGTGACTTCTAGGTAGAATGTTGTTCTGTAGCAAATAAAGAGAATGCTGTCTTTATTTTGTGTTGCTAAGTGATCAGAGTACAGCAGATCACCTTGTCAAAATGAAGCCTGATGGGTCGACCCCAGGGCACACAACCTTGTTTGCTTACCTTGTCAGTTGTGTCCCTGTCTGAGGAGAAGTGATACATTTACTGCAGAATACCTGCAACTATGAAAGGACTCGTGTGAATCCCAGTATGGGTAAGCAAGAAAGATCTGCCACCGTGGGGGTTAGAGGTCATCGTGGATGGGCTACTCCCGAGGATGCTTAAGGGTGTTGGGTTAGAAGGAATTGGCTGGACCCCTCGTAGCTGGTATTTTAGAAATAATGAAAACAATTTTGGTTTCAGTGGCCAGCACTGGAATGAACCGAGCAACAAAACATAGATGACTGGATTAGAATCCAAAGTATGAAGTAAGTATCCACAAATCTATGCTGATACAAATATATAGCAGTGAATTTCATTTAGGTACAAAATGGGAGAGCAGAGACAAATCTCTTCTTAAAAAATTCCAGATAATATGGGAATTGTAGTTAATTCTTCCCTCAAGGAGGTAGAATTTAAGTCTCTCTCACTTAAGGGTAGGCTACACTCAGTAACTCACTTCCAAAAAAATAAGAGTGTGGAAGACTATCATAACTCCACCGAAAATAAGCCTGTTAGCCACTGTCTTAACCAAGTGGTACAAATCAACACCTTCTCTGTTGTTGACGTGCTCCCCATGTGGTTAGCGTCACGTGGTCGGCTTCCGCCCTGTGATGTGATGTGATGTGAAAAGCACTTGACCGCTGTGATAAATACCCTCAACCCACAACTCTAGCAGAACCGTAAGAAAAACGTCAGACACACCAAGACTGGGGACATTTTACAGGACAGATAGGAACCCCGAACTCCTCAAGACTGTCAAGCTCATGAAGAATAAGCAGTGCTGAAGGACTGTCACAGATCAGCAAAGCCTTGAGAGCAGGACAGCTAAATGCAGTGGGGAACCCTGGCCAGGATCTGGGAACAGAAGGAAGATCATCAAAAACTGGGTGGTGTCCAAATAAGGTCCAGTACTTAGCTAAAAGAAAAATAAAAGCAGTAGCATGAAAACTAGCCACAAGATAGTGACATGAACTGGGGGCACATGGGTCCTTTGGGGAATTTAAGTTGCTTTTATTCAAGACGTGAATGCTCTCACTTGCTTCCCCATTAAATTGTGATCCCTGTGTGCAAAACAGATCACCCTCTCATCACACCCCCCAGGACTAGAACAAGTTGAATGTACATAAATACAGCATTAAATGAGCAAACTTATTAGGAAAGGAACAATCATTGTAAGCCCTCCTAGAATTTAAAGAATACGGTTGTGGGCTTGTGTTGCTTTTGTGTCTGTGTCCACTTGCCCAGAAAGAGTGGGATCATTCTTTAAATTCCCATGAATGCCTGGAGTTATTTATATATCAATGGGGCCAGTGCACCCCTATGCACCCCTATGCACATGAACATGGTGTCTTCTTAAGGGCAGAGGTTAGACATAGGTTTTCTCGTCTCACTGCCAGACCTGTAAACGACTGAGTAGCTGGATAATTTGGAAGTAAAATTAAATAACTTATGTTCTAAACCATGAAATACCAAAAAATAATCCAAGTTTGGAAATGAAGCTGTGTCAAACTTATAGTTGAAGTTCTGAGCAAAGAAGTTGTGTTGTTAACAGTGAAATTTCGGACAGCTGAAAATTGAGAAAATCCTTTCCCGGTTGGTAATAGAACAGTTCTTACTATTAGAAAACAGATTTTTTTAAAAAGCATAGATAAGAACATTAGAAACTTTCTCAAATAGGAGGCCCTGGGGACGTAAATCTAAAAATACTGGTTGACATGTTAGCAAATGCTGTTTCTCAGTGTTTGGGATATGTGAGCCAAGCGTGGCATTCAGCAGACTCTACTTGTTGATAGAAATGAGTTATCTGGCATATTCTACCTCTCCAAATGCCAGGAGCCAGTCTGCTGTAAAAGATTCCCTGGGTCAGTCTGGGCTGGAGAGAGGAAAACAACAATAATATATATCTTTGATTCTCATCACAGAGGTTGATACTCCCTAAGTCACCTATTTACAGACAGATTTTTCAAGGAATGAGTCATACGTTGCCTTAGCAGTTACCCAACTCCAGTGGCTTTCAGACGTATTTTTGGAGCAGCTGGAACAGAATCATTTCTTCAAATAAATCTTCCCCAGAGCACAATATGTTAACCATATATGAGTCAAGCTGCTATCCCGTGCGCCTACGTGGGCACAGGGAAAGCCTTCCCTTCCCTTGACCAGGTCACAGCCTCTGACGTTTCCATAGAACTATCAGAGCTTTTTAGAGCAAGGTTTGCTCACTAGGAGACTGAAAGCTGAACGACGGACTGGGCTCTCCTCTCCGTGATCTGACCACCAATTTTGTGGATGGGTGGGGAAAGCACCCATAGGCTCTCATACGCTTTGATCTTTGAAAAGTCACACTTTACCAGGAGGGGATGTTCCCTGTCAGGGTATCTTCCCTGAAGGGTACACGTGGTACCAGAAGGCGGAAGGTCGGTAAGACTCCGCTGTCCGGAGGAAGAATTTGTTTTTCTTTTTCTTGTTTTGATGTGTTTGGGCTGTGAAAATTTCTGAAGATATGCGTAAAAAGTGTGGCGACTCTTCAAAGATCTACAAGTCAACCTCCCATATGACCTCCCAATCCCCCTACTGGGAATATACCCGGAGGAACTCAAATCACTCTATGAAAAACATACCCAGCTGGGCTCGACGCCTCAGCCTGTAATCCCAGCACTTTGGGAGGCAAGGCGAGTGGATTGCCTGAACCCTCAGGTTCGAGCCCAGCATGCGCAACTTGGTGAGACCTCATCTCTACAATAAATAAATAAATCCGTCAGTCGTGGTAGTGCATGCCTATAATTCTGATCACTTGGAAGGCTGAGACTTAAGGATCACCTGAGTCCAGCCAGTCGATGCTGGGGTGGCCGTGAACGTGCCATGGCACTCCAGCCTGGGCAGTGGAGTGAGACTCCAACTCAGAAAAAAAAAAAAAAAGATAACTTGCACACACATGTTTATTGCAGTATTATTCACAATAGCAAAAACATGGAACCAACCGTGCTGCCTATCATAAGAGGACTGAATTTTAAAAATGTGGTACATATACACAATGAATATTATGCAGCCATAAAAAAGGACAAAATTATGAACTTCACAGTAACTTGGATGGACTTAGAGGCTATAATACTGAGTGATCTGTTACAGAAACAAAGAACCGAGTATCACGCATTCTCACTCATAAGCAGACCATGAGCAACTATCTCAACACTATAAAGACTGGCAATAGTTGGAAACTGCCAGGGGCGCGCAGAGGCGGGATTGACAGTAGTGGGAAACTGCCGGGGCGGGGCACACCTCATCAACAAGGCTACCTGCATCATGAACATTTGTATACCTAACCCTGAGTTGTACCCCACATATTTAAAATAAAAAATAAAAGTCTAGGCCAGAACCTTGCACTAGTAGGTATTACTGGATAACAATTATTATTAAAGACTTAGGAGTCTGAGTGTGCGGTTTTCTGAGGCAAATGCCAACAGAACAAGTGAAATTTTAAGCAGCATTTAAAATGTTGAACAATGGCTCCAGTGTATTTGATACATGACCACTTATCTGGTGCTTTCTATACAATATGTCATCACACCATTCTCCAGTCCTCCTAACAGACACAGTTGCTGGATGTCTCCCCCTTTTTTGTCCTCCCCCAGAAAAGAAAAGGAAGACTCCAAAAGGTGAATTTACTTGGCATATCCAATGCCACATCATTGGTACGTGACAGAGGTTAAACTCAAGCCCGGGTATCCCGGCTTGAAACCCAGCACTCTTTCTGTGAACCATCTCTTTTCTGTGCTGAGTGGCATATATTGACCGTTGTCTACCACGAGGCTTGAAAGAGGGCTTTGGCCAACTCAACCTTTTCCAGAAGAAGGAGGAAGCAGGTGAAGAGACTGGAAGACTCATCACGTGAAAAATGTGCTAGACCAGACCATTGCTACTCAAAGTGTCACCCTGAGACCACCTAAAAGCTGTTTTGCTGCAGAATCTCAACACTTCTCAATCAGAACCTGCATTTTCACAAGATCTCCAGATGACTTGTATAAACAAGGTCTAAGAGCACAGGTCTAGCAGAACTATGGATAACTCCTTTGGGGGTATTGAGGGCAATTTTGTGATATGTAAGGGCAAGAAAAGACTGGCTTCATGTCTTATCACTCCAAAAGCCAAAGATAGGACTCCTTGGAAGAAGTCGTGAAGATTGAAATTTGGGTTCGGAAAAAAAAATATTTTTATCACCGAGTCTTCCGAAAGTGGAACTCAGGAAAGCGCTTTCCATCAGAGGGTGTGCTTGAGAGCGTCTGCACGACCATTTGTCAGGATTTCACAGGGGAAGCAGAAACATCCAGTAGGCATTTGGACACGTATCAGACAGTTGCTAGGCAGGACCCATGCAAGGCATTGGAGACCCCAGGCACAATAGATAGATTCCCTTTTCAAGAGGTTTGTGCCTTACTGAGATAGCTGATATAT